TATAGATTTATCATTATTTTTATACATTCTTCTTTTAAATCATGTGAAATACAAAGAGGTGCTCCAAACCAAAAATGAAATTACGCCGGCCTTTGTATTTACCTATATAGTTATCTTTATTGAAGTTATTTATTTCTTCTTGTGGCTTCCAGTTACTGTCTAGTGTATTTTTGGTCAGCCTGCAGGACTATCTTTCTTATAATGAATTTCTTATTTACCAATGACTAACTCCATCATTAATCTGAAAATATCTTAATTTCTCCTTCATTTTTAAAGGATAGTTTTTTTCAATATAGAATTCGTGATTGACAGTCTTTTCTTTCAGCACTTTAAAAATATTCCACTCTCTTCTCCATGCCTCAATGGTTTCTAATGAGAAATATACTTCTAATCTTATTGAAAATCTTTTGCCAATAATGAGTTACTTTTCTCTTGCTGCTTTCAAGATATTCTGTTTAGTTCCTTGGCTTTTAACAATTTCATTATAACGTGTCTTGGTGTGGACTTCTTTGCATTATCTTTTTAGAGGCTGGTAAGCTTTCTAAATCTGTAGACTCATATCTTTTAGCAAATTTGGGAAGTTTTTGGCTATTATTTCTTCAAATATTCTTTTTAACCTGTTCTCTTCTCTGGGTTTCTAGTGTGTATATTTTGGTGTTCTTAATGGTGATCCACAGGTCTTAAGCTATGTTAGCTTCTCTGTCTTTTTCTTTCTGATCTTCAAACTGGATAATTTGATCAAGTTCACTTACTCTTCTGCCTACTTCACTCTACTATTAAAACTCTAGTGAGTTTTTTATTTCTGCTATACTTTTCAGCTCCAGAATTCCTGATTGTTTTTTATGATTTCTATCTCTTCATTGATATTATATGTTTGCTCATGCATCATCTTCCTGGTTTCCTTTAGCTCTTTGAATATATTTAAGTTAGTTGATTTAAAGTCTTTCCCTAGTAAGTCCCAAGTCGGTTCTTCCTCATTTCTGTTAATTTCTCCTATAAATGGGACACATTTTGTTTCCTTGCATGCTTCGTATTTTTTTTTGTTAAAACTAGACATTTTGAATATTACAATGTAGTAACTCTTGAAATCATATTTTTCCTTCTACTCAAGGTTTGCTTTTCTTCCTTGCTGTACACTGTAGCTGTTTGTTTGGTGAGTTTTCTAAACTGTTTTTGTAGGAAGTTTGTTTTTTGTGATGTGTGGTGTCTGAAGTTTCTGTTCTTTTACCTTGCAGTAAGCTAGGGTTTGGACAAATATTTCTTTGAGTGAGAGAGAGAGAGGGAAAGAGAGAGAGAGAGAGAGAGAGAGAGAGAGAGAGAGAGAGAGAAGGAAAAGGGAAATGAGAGGAGAAATAAAATGAAAAGAATAAGAAACTCCTTAAATCAATAACAACAAAAAATCTCTTTTTTTGTTTTTTTTTTCTGTTTTTTTGTTTTTTGTAGAAGAATGGCCCCTTCTACACTTAGCCAGGCCATTTACAATTTATCTCCTAGCCTTCACTTCATGCTTGCACTGAGCCTAGAGATCAACTAGAAGTATAGGCTTAGGGTCTTCCTAGATCTTTTCTGAGCATGCATTCTACCCTGGGCATGTGTGTTGCTTTTTAAATTCCCAGGTATTCACAGGGACTTTTAAATGGTCCAATTTCCCATAGAAACCCTCTCCCTAATTTTTTCTCCAAGCTTTGGCACTCTCCTGTTTGTCTCAACCGTAATCTTTTGTCTAGGTAGCTGCACGTTGTTTAGTGCTTCACAATGTTTTTGAGGAATGATCACTGCCTTTCCACTCTGAGTTGAGTTCTAAATTAGGCAAAACAAAGACAAATATCTTTGGTCAGTCTTTCCAGTATCCCCCAGGCAGGTTAGAACAAACCCTATTTTTTTAAAATAAATTCTGCTCTCCTCCTTCTAGAGCTAGGGATGAGAGTTCCACACGTGGACTGCCATCTTCAAGACTGCCACTGAACTGGGGACAGGGTAGGGCAAAGTCAAGTAGAAATGCCACAGAGCTTTCTTACCATTTTTAAGCTGCCTTTTCCTTAATTCAGTGTTTACTTGGATGCTGTAGCCTTTGATTAATAACTAGAGTTCTGACAAAGTTGGCCCTGAAAGACTGCATGATTGTGTGTGTGTGTGTGAAGTGTTTGGATTTGCCTACTCTGCCATTTTTGCTGACCTCACTCACTCTCTGCACTGTGTGTTGCTTCCTGTGCATATTGTCTTTCCATCATCTCATCACTCTGCTGAACACACCCTAATTCTTTCTTTCCAAAATATTACCGATATAAACTTAGGCTTGTAATACACTTTTAGGGTAAATAAAAATTTGGGGTTTTGGTCGGGGTCTATGTTACAGTACAATACTCCCACAGTAGTGAACAACCATATTGAATGAAACATTTGGCTTCCCTATTCTTTAATATATGTTGGTCGTTAATGCAGCAGCCAATCCCTCTGTTCTGGTTTTATCTCCCAGAGAAACCTGAGTCCCCTTATCTCTACATCTGGGCAGCAAAACCAGAATTCTCTCACTATTCAGAAAATCCTGTTTATCTCACACCAGTTCACTCTTGTCATTGACATAATTCACCTTCAAATAAGTCCATCAAAAAAAAAAAAACCCAAAAAACAAACAAAAAACCCCAAATAAGTCCATCAAAAAGTTTTGATATAAAAAAGGGTGTGGAACTTTTTATTCCTTAGCGGGAAATCTGGTCTCCACTTTCAAAATCACAAAAGTTTCTTCCAGATGTATATATTTTCATTTAGAAAATGTAGACACATTTTAAAACTTCTTTGAACACATTTGAAGACATGTTGTCTGTATAGTAACTTCCATTTAAAAATAGTTTTCTCCTAGTATTACATTTTCTTTTATAAACTAATATTTTAAAAAGTTCTGAAATTTTCACAAATATGGTAATTTAATTCCTACAAAATTCTGTTTTTTATTTTTTTTTAAATTCTGTTTTTTAAATAAAAGAAGACAACTTTATTATTGGATGATTATTCAGTAAAAGAGGCTCCCTTTCTGTAAGTGAAAAATACTATTTTGTTTTTTATTGGTTTTGTTCTGGGAATAGAAAATGTGGCTGAAATGTCTTTTTCTCAAAAACAAGTTTTTCCTTATTCTAAAATAACATGCATTTATTTGGATTTTAAGAAGATGAATAATGGGGACACCTGGGTGGCTCAGTGGTTGAGCCTTTGGCTCAGGTCGTGATCTTGGGTCCTAGCATCAAATTCTACATCAGGCTCCCCACTGGAATCCTGCTTCTCCCTCTGCCTATGTCTCTGCCTCTCTCTCTGTGTCTCTCCTGAATAAATAAATAAAATCTTAAAAAACTAAGATGAATAATGCATAAAACAGAATTTCTGAATTCTGAAAATTCATAAATATATAAAACAAAAAGTAAAAATCACCAGTAATCTCATTACTTAAGATACCAACTGGTATGTATTTGATATATACCCCCCAGGAACTTTTAAATTGCTGTTTATATGAGCAGCTATATTTATGTATTCGTGTGTGTGTGTGTGTGTGTGTGTGTACACACAGATACATAAATGTGTGTATATTTTCTTCTTTAACAAAAATAAGATTTTAGTAAGGGCTTTTGTCTCAATAAATATATAATGTGTCATTTTAATAGCTACATGATAGTTCATTTATAGATGTACAATAATTGAATCAATTTCTTATGAATGAGCACTTAGTTTATTTTCATTTGTTCTGTTACAAACATTGCATATATATTTTAGAAGTTACAAGAAACTTATTTAAAGTAAGTAATTCTGATTTCTTAGGTAGTTTTCTTTAAATATTTGCTTCTCTAAACTGGCATTAAGACAAAACAGCTTTTGTAACACTGTTTCAAAGTGCTTTGACCACAAAAGTAGGCAATAATCAATAATTGTCTAAAATATCTTAAACCTATATGTGATCTTCCAGCCTGGCTATAATCTGTCATATCAGTTTTGACTGCTCAAGTTCCCACTGTCTCCATTCTGATCAAATGGATTTATTCACCTGGAGGAAACTAATGTTTTACTATCCTTCTACCATATAACTGGTATGAAAAGGGTGAAAGTTACTCTGTTTCTCTACACTAATCCAGAATTAGGAATCCAGCTCAAATCCCACTTGGTCCATAGACTCTTCCTGGTCTCTTAACAGGAAGGGATTTTTTTCCCCTCATTAAAGTCCTTTGGCACATGATATTTACAACATTTTTGGCAATTGAATATCTTGCAACAGTTCCTTCTCAAATTTATTTAAATCTTATTACTTCCTCATTGTCATGTCATCTTTTTTTTTTTCATGTCATCTTTCTACCACTGTACCGAAGGGCTGTTGAAGGAAGAGATCAGACATGCTATTTTCCCAGTACTATACCTTGCATGTATAAGGATTTGGTAAATACTTTATAATTTAATACAATGACTGTAAATTATAGATCTCTATTAGTAAAATTCTCATTCAATTAATTTCTATGCACAGATAAGAGAACATGAAAAAAAAGCAATTTCTTAAAGCACTTTCATCAAGATATTAACACAAAATCTTTGTTACTGACTATATATTGCCACTGTTGGTATCTGAACTATGTAATCTCTAAAGTCAAAATAATATATTTAAGATTTTTCTCTTTTTTACTTATTTTAAATTTTAAAAATTTAAATTCTAATTAACATATAGTGTATTATTAGTTTCAGAGGTAGAGGTCAGTGATTCATCAGTTGCATATAACACCCAGTGCTCTTTATGTCACATGCCCTCCTTAATGCCCATTACCCAGTTACCCCATCCTCCCATCCACCTCCCCTCCTGCAACCTTCAGTTTGTTTCCTATGATTAAGGGTCTCTTATGGCTTGTCTCCCTGTCTGATTTCATCTTATTTTACTTTACTCTCCCTTCACCCATGTCTTAAGATTTTTCTTACATTCTTATAATATTAAAAACATCTACTTAAAATAGTCTAAATATTGAGTTACTTACCTTGCAAAAACTTAGGCAGAAGCACAAATGTAACAAAATAACATGAACAAGCTTCATATTGGAAACTTTCAGGGTCTGTCTCTCTTCTCCACCCTGGATATTCTTTTGAAATTTAATTTTTAACCTTTGAAAAAATATTTAGAAAGAGCAAGGCTCCTAAAGAGCTTTGCACTTTTGAACTCAGAGAATTTGGCTAAAATCCAGAGTTTTACCGTAACTGAAACCAAAAAAGGCCTTCCCAGTAAATAGCTGAGTGAGGTGACCAATAGGGAGCATGTTTCCTCCAGAGGAAAATAATTTCCACAGTTTGTTAATAGACAGCCCTTCAATTTTGCTTTTTTAGAGAGGACAGAAACTACACTGAAAGAAAATTGCTTGTGTTTTTGGCAAAATAAAATTAGAGTGTTTTCCCTTAAGTTTGAAGATGAGGAGATAAGTAAAAGTATACCATGTTGAAGGCTGTGAAGAATACAGTAAATATCCTGAACAAAACATTTCCTTTACCATGCATCGTTATGCTGTGATCAAATTATATTGTCTGAGCATAGAAAACTTTTTTAAAAAACGATTTTACTTATTTGAGAGAGAGGAAGACAAAGTATGAGCAGCGGGGAGGAGATAAGAGAGAGAAGGAGAAGCAGATGAGCAGGGCGCCCAATGTGGGGCTTGATTCCAGTACCCTGAGACCATAGATTCCCCAAGGTGAGGGCAGATGCTTAACTGACTGAGCTACCCAGGTACCCCAGCATAGAAAACTTTAAAACATAAGTTTTATTGCCCCAGCACCGAGTGTAGTGCAGGATTCATTTTTATTTGTGAAATAAATGTTAAGGTTTTCCTGAAGCAGACATGAGACAGAGTTGGGGCTACAAGTTAGAAATTAACTCCAGTGAAAGGAAGGGAGATTAAGCAGGGGGGAGCAGAGAGAAAAGTGAGACTGCAATGCAGGTTCAACAAAGCCCTGGTTAACTCATGGGGAGCTCTGGAGCGAGTGTGGCCTGTCACAGTGTCTCTGGGTCAGGCAGGAGTGGTTAGACTATTAAATCCTGCCTTGCTCAGTCACCTGGTGTGGATTGTCCAGGAAAGGCATCCCCTTAGGTGAGGCCATTCTCTGCAGCTGAGGCAGACTCGGAAGGATCTCTCATTTAGTTGTCATCAGAAGAAATGTCTCCTCATCACACTTTTCACAGGTAGGTAGCAAACCCTTCCATGAAGTGGAATTTGGGAAACTCATCTTCCCATTTTTAGAGTGCACCATTTGCACCTCTTAGGTCTACCTTTCATATATGCTCCAAGAGTGGCTCCTTCAAAACTGCAGTAGGCTTTTCTTCCTGAGGGAAAATTTAGAAGAGGGAGGTGGTAAGAAAAAATGATGGCCCTGGCCCTTGTAGTTGCTCTTGAGGCTGCAGGTGATGCTCATCCATCCTCTGCCTTTTTTCTATCCATTCTAGATTCCTTTCACCCTGAGCTTCCACATCTGCCAGCCTCAGTTGCTTACCTAATGTCATGACTCACAAACTTCCTGGAGCCTCTGGTTACATTTCCTTCTCAGACCATAGTTGTTTTTATCCTTTTACTGTCACAGGAGGCACTAAATAGCTATATGGTTCCATACATACTCTTTTCCCTCACTGTATGACAGCAGCCCTGCTTCCTCTAAATGAGCAGGGTCAGTTATTCCTGTCAACATGGTGACTTCTCTTCTTTCTTGCCGATTCCTAGACACTGGAAGCCCAATGTGCACCAGGCAGAAGGCTCAGCTTATAACTCATTGGGATTCTTGCTGTGCCTCCTGGCAAAAGAATGCTTCCTTGGAGGAACAAGATCCCTAATTCTGCAAAGTCTACAATTGTGGAGACAGGAAGCACAAAGCTCTGTTAGTCACTGGGAGTGACAGTATGTGTGGTCATTCCGGCTTCTATTGCTTGGCTCCCAGACCTCCATCTTCTACTATAGGGTGTACAATGCTAAATGAAGGTTTTTTATTCAATGCATATATTACTTCCTGGAGGACAGTACCCAGTCCTCAGAGTATTGTCTTTTTTTTTTTTTTTTAAGATTTTGTTTATTTATTCACGAGGGACAGAGAGAGAGAGAGAGGCAGAGACATAGGCAGAGGGAGAAGCAGGTTCCATGCAGGGATCCCAATGTGGGGCTCGATCCTGGAACTCCGGATTACACCCTGAAGGCAGATGCTCAACCACTGAGCAACCCAGGCGTCCCTCAGAGTATTGTCTTTAAATAGCACCTCACTTCTGCATTCAGCAGGCTGTTTCAATGACCATAAGGTTGCCAGCTTTCAAGTGATGGAGTATATGATATGACCAGTGAACTGCATGGTCATTGACCTACTCACATCTCCTTTGCTATCAGGTGGGTCCCCTTGTCTGACAGGATGTTGGAAGATTACGCTGAAATCTTTCGGATTTGGATCCCAGCTGAGGCCTCGCAGGCAAGAAAGGCACACTTCAACCTGGAATGTGTGTCTATTTGTGTGAGAATGTACCGCTGGCTCTTGTAAAATTGAAAGGACCAACTGTGTCAATTTACCAACAAGTGGCAGTTGCTTTCCCTGATGCATTTTCAGCTTGTACCTACATTGTAAGCCCACCTATCTGTAAACCAAACACGTTTTTCCCTCTTCCTGGTCATACCATATTCCTATGGCTGTGAGCTGAGGAAAGGACTTGGATGCAACAGTTTGGATTAGGTGGGGAGGGGGAAATCTGAGCTACAAGCTGGTGCAGTTTGCTAGTGTCCTTGGTCCAGTTTGTATTTGGTTCTGGGTGTACACTTCCATCTTATAATACGGTTTTTCTAGGCCTGCTCTACCTTATGTTTTGTGGGTGTTAGGACTCAGCTCATAATGGGCATTTCTGGTCACAGGTGACATAGTGTGCAAGGTTCAGTAATTCCAGATTTACCAGGGGCTAGTAGTAAACAGTTATTTCTCAAAAAGGGTATAGTTTTCTGCTGTAGATAATTCATGGCCTTGCTCCAGAACCCCAGGGTTCTCTTTTGTAATTCTCTCAATGGTTCCTTCTCAAACATTGGGCAATGTTTTTTTCCACCACTGACAATTCTAACATCATAGGTTCTGTCAAATCATGGGAGAACTCTTTCCTGCTCTGGCAGCCTGAGCAGTATTCCTGTTTTGTGCTTCCTTCTTTGTGAAGGCAGTTCAGGATAAATAATTTGTCTTTTACTTTAGAGACGATATCCTGGCAGTTTTCTAAGCACTGGTTTCCTAAAAATTTTATTGATGTGCCAAGCCTTGTCTCCTGGAGTATATGTATCTTTTTAAGGCATTTGGCAGGCTAGCCACCTCTCACTTACCTGCTCTCATCAATGTAAAACCATCAATGTAATGGAACAGTGTGATGCTTTACAGGAAATCCAGATGATCCAAATCTCTTCAGACTTTATTATGACAGAAGATGGGAGATAAGATCTATGGAAAAACTGTAATGTATATTGTTGCTTATCCCATGTGAACAAGAACTGTTTCTGATCTTCTTTCCTGTTTAAAATACTTATAATTGTTTAGGTTTCACTGACTAAATTCTTATTGATACACTTTATAATATTGCTAAAACTAGCATCAAGGTTCTTATCTCTAAAAGAAATTCAACTGAAACAATTTTAAAGCAAAGGGGTGATTAGAATGAATAGAAAACAACAGCAAAAATATCCAAATTATAAATTTTTACAACAATAAAAGCATACAACTCAGGATAGCATTAAAAGAATAAAATGAATCAAGTGATAAAAAGGAAATAATAAAGACATAAGCAATAGTAAAGAAACCAGAAAGTAAAAAAGTAGCAGATTTTATATATAAACCAATGAATGATTTTGAGAAATTAAAAAGAGAGGGTTAAATATTTTAGAGGAAAGCTGTTGAAGTGGCAATTTTTAGGGGGGCTGCCAACATCCATTTTCCTTCATAATAGGTTCCCAATTCTCTTTGTGGAATTATTGCTCTTCTATTATGGGTTGTTTGGGTGGGAGAATAATTCCCAGCACCTGCTTTTCAAAACAAGTTAAGAAATCCATATCCAGCCTCTTTCCATTCCCTTTTAGAGCAGAGACTAATCAGAGTCTTTTTTGCTCATGTCTAAATCTTGAATTAAGTGTGATAAGAGAACAGAAGAGCCAATTGGGAATTATATATTGAAGCAGCAGCAGCAGCAGCAGCAGCAGCAGTGCACCAGTCAGACAATTTAGCTGTTAGTTATAAGACAAGTTTCCTGTGATTCCTTTTCACCTTCCTGACCATCCTCAGTTCTTAAGCCTAACTTCTTAGCCTTCTGTCAATAGTCTGAACATTCTATTATCTGCCAAATGAATTTTCTTTTGCTAAAGTTATTCAGAGTTGGTTTGGTAGCTTGTCACTTAGAACCTAAAGTAATAAAAGTATGTGCAATTTATCAAATAATCTGAAGATCCAGATGAAAATTTCAAGGAAAATAAAATGATCAGAATAATTTATGCAAGGAGAGGTAGAAAATTCAAATAAATTAATAGCTAAGAAAAAATAGAAAAGTTAAAGATTTTAACCCCTAATGACACTTTTACTAACTCTTTCTTTTAAAAAAGATTTTAAGTAATATCTACACCCAATGTGGGGTTTGAATTTACAAACCCAAGAACAAGAGTCACATACTCTACTGACTAAGCCAGCCAAGAGCCCCTATTTTTTTAAAGATTTTATTTTACTAACCCTTTTAAGAAAGATCATTCTTCTGTTATTTAAACTTTCCTAGAACACAGAAAAAGATGAAAAGCACTCCAATTTATTTTTTTTAAGATTTGTTTATTTATTTATTCATGAGAGACAGAGCAAGGGGTGGGGGGCATGCAGAGACACAGGCAGAGGGAGAAGCAGGCTCCATACAGGGAGCCCAACGTGGGACTCGATCCTGGGCCCCCAGGGTCACACCCTGGGCTGAGGCAGCGCTAAACCGCTGAGCCACCTGGGCTGCCCCAAGCACTCTAATTTATTAGCAATACTCAAAAAATGGTAAGATGGGCCTCTGAAATAAATCTTTAAGTTAATAATTATAATTAATCATTCATTTATATGTAATGATCCTAAATAAAATATTAGCAAAGTATACATTACAAATCACAGCATATTAAAAACAATA